CTAAATGCATGACAGTTGCACCACAGAGTGTGCGCAGACATACATTTATCTTAACCTAAATAGGAAAATCAGGCCTACTTGTCGATGCTGCTTGAGACGCTGGTTGTTGGGTGGGATTGCTGCCACTGCCAATGTTGACCGTATCCCCTGTGACCTCATTGACGGTCGTCACCCCTGAACTTCCGCTCACATTATTGTGAAATGTCTTTTCAGCTGAAAGAATATTGGATGTTTTACAAACAAAGCAAATACAGCCACGAAACACATTTTTATTGTTTGCTACAATTATTGAAATGATGTAAATTTTGTTTTCAGGCATGACAGATATGCATGGTGGACATTTTGTAAGACGTGATGTCTGTGCTATTTCGTCACATACGTAGAAGTGAGTGAGTGAATTTTGTTTTACGCCGCGCCGCTTCGGCGTGACGGGCGAACGCTTTAACCACTAGGCTACGCCACCGCCTACATGACATACAAAATAGACCGCCTTTTAACAAACAAAATAGTTACCATGTTGCTGTGGGGCATGATAGGTGTTGCCCATTCCCCCCTTCAATCTGCCCCGCCACATAGCTGTTGGTGGCCTGCCCGCCAGTCATCCCCGATTATACGCTGAGGTTCCCTTTTCTCCATCTTGTTTTTCCAACTGAAGAACAGAAGAACTCTTCTATAGTATCTACTACTACAATGTAACCAGCAGCAATTGCCACACCTTCTGTTCACTGTACTATGATAATTACAAGACTGACATAACCTGGTATTCTTGTCTCGTGTGTTTGTTGACGATGTATTCCTATGACAACTATGGGAAAGTCCAGATCAGTGCTATTAATACATCGGAAATAAACAATGACGTCATTCCCTGGGAATTCATAAAACCCCTGAAGCTTGAAGAACCAGGATGAACACGAGAATTATGTATGTTACACCAGAAATCAACCCTTAAGCGTTCACGTTTGAATATCTGTGTAATGCAAGCGTTAGATCTGATTCAGTTTACCTAAGTTAACTTATGGATATATACAAGCTGTGTGTGGGGGAATGGGGGTGGGGGGGGGGGGAGTGCTGTCAGTAAAACGGGACAAAAGCAAGGGATTGAATGTCATCGCTGTGCTGAATGGCTGTGGTTAGGCTACCCATTACACACGCGGTTGGGTGGTGAACGGGTACGACTCGGGGTCTGCCTCTAGAACGCCTGACCTCAATTGAGCGTCGTCCATTATGTATTGTTAACCCCATTCCAATCTCGCCCCGTCATGCAACGCAAGTGTACAGGATAGTCGATGTCAACCCTGTAAAAAGTTATCAAATCCACGCATGTGCTATGTCCTTTTCAGTTGTTTACATTATGTATGCCTGTCCCCAACACGTCAAAGTTTACAGTCTACGTACGACATATAGAACTGTCTTTAGACGCCATTGTCACACGGGGTCAACGATACGTTGTGTGGATACTCACCTCAGGAGACCGCCGCAAAGGCTGATATGTATCTACAAAACACAATGACATTATCCTATCTGCTGTCTGGAAAATATACCAAGGGGGTCAAAAAGTTTGATAACAACGAACACAACAACTGTGTGTTATACGCACACAGTGTTTATACCTCACAGACACACGACAATCGAAGTTTTGTGTACATCATAACACAAATATGTGGTAAGGGACCGTTCGTAATTTATGGCTACAGTGGGTGATGATGATTTTAAGGGCGTGGGGAGGTGTTCACACATTTTGTTCTAGGGAGGTAGGTGGTCAGCAATTTTGTACATATACTAGCGGGGGTCCTCAATTTTGTACTTAAACATATTACAATATCATGCTTAAAAATATAGGAAGGGGAGGGGGACTAATTTGGTACATGACATGCAGGGGAGTCACTTACTTTGTATATAAAAAGTTCAGGGGGTAATTCACATTGTACATGATTCTCCTTTAAAAATAGAAACTAGGTCAGCCATCGAGTCCTTCGGCGTATATATTAGCCGCCAGTGTATGTGTATATGTAAACTGCCGGCCAATAATAAATATATGATGTGAACTAACTACCGTATTTGCATTATATTTTGAGTTACAAAATTTTGATGAACAGCAATATGTGATGAAATGCACCGTTATGAGCATGCCTGCATAGGGCACGTAATATCAAGTGTTGTACAGTGATATATCTCCGCTCTAGCGGGCACTTCTTGTATTCAGTTGCTTTGATCGCTGATCTTAAAGAGGTCAGTGGATTTCATTCAGATCAACACTAAGTTTTGCATTGATGTAGCTTCATTCGTGTTAATGCGACTAAGCAACATGGCGCTAATGGGATGTCATAATGAAACATATTTGTTATAGATGCGGCGTGGCCAGTGGGAAGGAATGAACCTAGTAATGAATATCCTGACTTGAGTCTATATGTTCAGGAATATGTCAACTTTTCTACAATCAATATTTTCTTCTCCTGAGTCCCCTTTACATACAAAAAGCAGACACCCAGGATAGTGCTTGGTCCAAATCAGATGAGAAGGAAAGGCAACACTAGAACAAACAAGGTAGATAATACCTCAGCATAAAGTACAAGGTTATTATTATGGACAGTTCATGTGCAAATCCTGATGAGGTTCATATTCGAAGTAAGGTATTATGGACTCTAATAGGTAGGGCTTTTTTCAGTTTTATTACTGACTTAGACACTCATTCACACACATCTTCACTCACACTCTCCTCTTACATAACCATATTTAATATAGACACTTCTAAATATAAATTTAAGCAATCAAGAATTTGTGTACTCATTAAATCACGATCACTGAGCTTCAGCGTATCTACATTAGCATATCTACATCTCATGGTACAGCATCCACTTGGTATAGAACATAGCTTGTTGACTTTGATATAAGTAATATTTCTCTCAATGATAAGGCTGTTGTAGGCATAATGTTTAAAGTGTTTGCAGTTTAGGGTTGTCAGCATATACATTTCCTTTCGTGGAAGGTCAAATTTCAATTCTAATTCATTTCAGTATGAAACACGAGTTCTGATAGGTCAATGCTATAAATTTCCGACCGTATAACAGCATATACGGTCGCAATTTGAAACCGTTTCACCAAAACCTTTAAATGTATCCCTACACTATTGGGGTAACGCTGTTTTCAGGGCATTATCATTTGCAGAAGCCCTAGGTATGTTAACTCCCCTATTTCGCTAAAATGGATGGAGTTTGTGTCGAAAAAGACAAAACAGTATCATAAATTTAATTGTAAGTTTACTTCAAACAACTCGCAACGGGCTGTTGACCCAACACTGTTAGATCATGTAACAAGATTATGGAGCGTGACGTCACCCGTTGTGACGTCATTTGACAAACACAACTGATAATGGTCCGTTGTTGAGGAATGAGCGGGCCATTGTCAATTGCAGCGGCCCGCTCATTTCTGATAACTAGAGGGCGGTTTCATGATAATTCCGTCCATTTTAGCTTTAACACTATGACTTATTCATCATTGTCAGATTAATCAGTGTGCACATAATACACGTGTTTAAGTTTGAAAAGTGAACTACTTTTTCTGGCGATCGTGTAAGTTCAAGGAGTGATATGATTAACCTTTGACCTAAAGGAACTTTGACCTGGTTTAAATAATGAATTTCTTTCACAAAAAAACAGCGTAAAAAGAGTTGATTTAGAATTAGGATAACTCGCCGATATAACTAAATTTGCGGCTATATAACCACCGGTATACGTCCCCAATTCGTCAAACACAGTACAGTTATCCCCTAAGTGACAGATATGTTGGCACTTTTCATAAGCCAGGCTTAATGGTGATTGCCAGAAGCATTGAACTTTACACTCCCAAAAATGAATTGGTTATTGTTCCAACTTCACACTGATAAAATAAACATAAATTACTATCAGTTATGCTGATTTTATATTAAAAATGAGTTAGGTGATAAAATCCAGTGAATAATTCTGAACTGAAACCATCTCAATTTAGTATCTAAAGTAGTCTCAAGTGATTTTACAAATATATTCCACCACTTTAATTTAGAACACATTCCTCCCACATATGTGTCAATGTAAGGTGAGTACCACATGCATGATAATAACACTTTGCACATTTCTTAACTGATAGCAGTTTCCTGACAACTGGATGATAATCCATCCAGTTGGACAAAAGGTGTGGGTTTACACATTTTCAACTTACCCTGGTATTTCTTTATATCCTGATTTATCCCTTGATAGGTTGACATCACGTTCTAAAGTGTATTCGAATAGTTCAAGTGACACATAGTTTCCTTCAGGATATATAAATAATTAAACATAATCTCTTTACTAATGGTGATGTATTTGCTGTAAGTGTCAGGTTCCGTTATAATGCCATCAAATAATTCACGCTCTATTTTCCTTGAGGCAAATCCTTCCAAAGCATCCAACCTAAATACATTGTTGATGTTTGTAATGCTTTAGCTGGAAAAGCATTGCTAAATTTGCCAAAAACGACAAAAGTGAGGATTCATTTACGTCAAACAGTTTTCTTATCAAACGTAGCTTCAATGATTTTACACAGGAAACAACCTCAACCATACCAAGCCCAACCTGCTTCACAAGCTCACACACAAGAGTTAATCTAATCTGGTTTCCCAGTCAAAAAATTACAGAACCAGGGTTAGGAGTGTCAGAAAAGATAATTTAATTTGTAAATGAGTAAGGCCTTGGTAATAGCAATTCCGACAAGGGGAGTAATGATTCTTTTCATCTGTCTGTTTGCCGTATATAAAGCACACCCACAACTGGAAGCCTATGTCATAACGGATGAACAAAAACTAATGGGGTGTTCGTTAATCTAAGTCATATTCTTGTGTATGGAAATATATAGCGGCATCAAAATACTGGCAGTTACATATACGTAGTGTTTACTGTGTTAGCAGATGTGTATAATATTAATGATCCATGAATGAACTACCTATCCGCTGACCACCGCGAGGCGATAGTATAGTATGGAGAGCGTATCAGTGTACTGTGAAACATTTTCATCTTCTACGTAGATTATAGATACACCTGCGTCCTCAATAATCCCAACAACGAATATAGAGCTTTCACCTACGTGAAAGATACGACCATCTCCACACGTCCTATTCTCAACATGGTCCCATGATATTCGGTTGTGAAGTTGGACGCCAGGCTGAAACAGTTTAAACAAAACGTAAATGGTTGGCAGCGTGTTGGTGGTATATTTCAAAATAAACTTTTGTGTATTTTCATTGTTAACATCAATATCATATCCGCATAAGTGCAATCAAGCTATTTCCGAATGAAATACATTTGAAAAACTAAAAATATTCCATGCCCACTGAGGTCATTACGTGCACCTCACATTAATATCAGGACCTAAAAAGTCGTTGGAATCGCACCGACTTGATAAGATAAGAATATCTAATAGTATATAAACAGCTGTTAATGGACTTTGGTACCATTTACACGTTCAGCTGAACCTGCTGCTATGATTGTGAGGGAATTCTTTTACTATATTTTCTGCGTAGCCGGAATCGCCGTGCCTTGTATTGCTCAGCCAACTAAGGCAGACTTATTGATAACAGCTGAACTTTCACTGTATGATGTTCGCGACCTGCAGGTCCCCAAAACAAAGCATGCGTTCCCACCGTTCCAATGGGACGAAGAGCAGGGCATATGGCCGAGTGACGTCAAGATGAATTTCCATGGTGACCCTGATTATGCGCTTTTCAGACAAATTTTCGGCATCTTCGACAATAATATGTTCGCGACAACATACATCACCGCATGTTTGGCTGAGGCGAGACGATGTTTGGACAAGCCGTGGTATAATAACACGGCTGATATGCTGACGAATGGTATCAATGCCATCAAACGTCATCATGATTTGAATGTGAACTATACCAATTCTTTAATGACCTTCTGGCCTCAGACGTACAACGACGACACCAAGGCTTATAACAGCTACCCTGTGAATCTCAATGACGCTATCAAGTTGACAGAGAACTTGCCTCTAAATGCAACCTACGCTTTCTTCGAAAGACTTGGACTCAAGAATGTGGACAAAATCGTCCACGAGCTCATGAGTATAAGGTACATGTTTTATGTATAGAAAACAGCTTCTAATACTTCACTCATGTGTGATATATGCATCGCGTTGACACGTAAATATTGTTCACCATTACATGTAAATGTCGGTCAGTAAATAATTCATTTCAGTATCTGTAAGTTGGAGTTTTAATCTGGATAGTCATATACCATTGTCCGATTACTGCTTTGCTGGAGGTTCCTCATCTGACACCCGTGGAGGTCCGGGTTAGAATATTGATCTTCAGTGACCCATGCTTGTCGTAAGAGGCGACTCACGGGATCGGATGGTCAGGCTCGCTGATTTGGTTGACACATGTAATCGGTTCCCAATTGAGCAGATCGATGCTCATGTTGTTTATCACTGGAGTGTCTGGTCCAAACTCGATTATTTACAGACCGCCGCCATATAGCTGGAATACTACTGAGTGCGGCGTAAAACTAAACTCACTCACTACTCATCTGAATTCAAATCTAAACTTATCAATTTGTTCAGTCTGTTTACAACCCGGATCAGTTGGACGTGGTTTTAGGACAGACTATTGGAAGAATGCTAAAGTTATTGGTAGTAGTTTGTACATGTACAGAACATACCATCTCCGCATCAAACATAGGTGATGACCAGCAAACACTGAATCCACCTTAAGAATATGGTAATATATTCATATCGTTAAAAAGAAAAAGTGTGTTAATAACAGTTTGTTCTCATGAATGTTTCAATCCTTCGAAAGAGGCGTCTACACGCTGGCGTTCCACATTCCTCCGGATTTCGATGACACATTCCTCAACATCGGCCTGGGTTCGATCCTTGCCGAAATGCCACAAGAGTATCCTGAGGCATTCAAGCTATGGTTGTCCCACAACACCAACCTCACCTCCGTGTTCGACGCTCTCAAGTACTACGCTTACAGGTAAGAGACTGTTGAAACTCAGTTACGGTAAAATGCATGATAAACATATGTATACGTGTATTGATAGTTAAACGCATTGTCATGCATGCTTGCCGCGACGAAAACTAAAATGTCCACTTGTAAAGATGTATATTATCTAGTGATCAATATCTAATATACCCATTAATCCAAACTCAATAAATACTCAAATGAATTCTTATTCGTTTCTGCAAAATATAATGTATTTCGTCGAAAATGTCCAGTTTTATATTGATTTTAGCAATATCTCTGACAAATGACAGCAATTAAATCGGCGGATTGTAAAATTGTAGAATTCTATCAAGGATATAAATATTCATGATGGTAATCATTCTGCAAATTGGCTAGATCAGCGACAATATTATTTACTTATAGTGTAACCTGTAACTGTGTCAATGGACGGTCACTTTGACGTGTAGAAATGCATAACTGATGTCTATACCGAGGCTTGATCAGTGCCTTCAAAATAGGGCTTAACCTAATCCTGTTTACTTTGCTCGAAGACCGTTTTCCGGAAACCAGCGTGTCAACACTATAGACCCCAGGAGCTACTACTTCCTCAGGGCGTGGTTAGAGCAGGAGAAGGCTGCCGGACGCGATGTCGCTCTTGTGCCGACATGGGTGAGTATGTACCCATGGGGCGTTCTCTCGCTGGATAACAACTGTCATCATTTTAGTGACTTGACACGTCACAGAACTGGCTCCTTGGTTTTTGGTAGGATTAAAACAAGGATCGGGGTCATCAATTTATCATAGAAATTGCTTTCTTGTATAGGCAACGGTGGACTGAAACTTGTGTTGGCATCCATATTAAATAGTGACTTTAGCAGTAGTAGGACGTCTCATATAGACACGAAACCACAAGCCATATTCAAACTGCAAATCAAATGTTGTTTAATGCGTCACCACAACCAGCGGTACAATATGATAATTTAGACGGTTATTTTTAGCTATTAATCAATGCTCAAGAAAACAATTCTGGTTGAAAATACTTGGCCTGCTATGTTACAGATTGCCACGCAGTGTGCGAAATAGTCACTGACCCGCTAGCCCGTGGCTAGTAAAATTCCAGTTGGGGCCAGTAAATCTCTTGCCTGACTGGCTAGTGAATTTTCATGGGGTCATTTAGAAAATATGTCACTCTCTCCGACTTGTTAAGGTATAATATAGTTATAAATCATGAAAGTTTATGGCCTCATAAACATATGTTCATCATATTGGCAACTTAATGATATCAACCGTGTCTACATTCAAATATTGGGCTAGTGAAGTATTTTGTGGGCTAGTAACTTTCAGACATAGCTTGTCCGACTGGCTAGCACAATTTGGAAACTATTTCGCACACTGTTGCCACGTACCTTTTACAATATGATGATATTATATCTCATGCATCTAAATGTGGGCCTATCATAAATGTCGTTACCATATATTACGCAAAGTATAATGATCTACTGAAAGCTGTTTATCGATGTGAACCTGAGAAAGGCCAAAACATCACAATGTAAATAAAGTTCACGTACATTAATGATTGTACTGGGCAGGCATAACAATATGCAAGTAAGAGTACCCAATTTAATCTAAAACAGTGAATGATAAATATATGACAATTCAATATGTACTAAATATAACAGCGGATAGCATAAATATATGCCTCAACCAACGCATTTTGTTCAAATGGAAACATATGTTTTCTTTGACAATACAGTCAATACAAATATTGCTCGGAGCTAGACTTCCCCATCGAAGCTTGAAATGTACACGACCAGGGAGATCGCTTCATATGTTTCATATTTAGATGTATCAGACTGTGAAATGCGCTCTACAAGGCCGTGGGACAAGGGTGAGGTGAGGTGAATTTGGATTTTACGTCGTGCTTGAGAATATTTCGCTCATATGACGACGTGCATGCGTGTGTATGTGCGGCTGCTTGTACTAGCCCAGACTGAAGCTGGTTTTATAGTGCTATCCCACTGAGATACCATGCCGCAGTGAAGCATGAATACCCCACTTAGACACATTATACTGACTCCGAGCCGACCAGTGCTTGTTGTACCCATTAATGCCGAGCGCCAGGCAGGGACCAACAAGTACCATATTTTAACGTCTTTTTGGTATGACGCGGACGGGTATCGAACCCGCGACCTTCCGCTCTCCGGGCGGATGCTCTAACCACTACACCACGGAGGTGGTCGTGGGACAAAGGGGTGAAGTTCACAATGTATACGTAATGGTGAACTTTCGGATTCCTCTATCAATACTCCTCCAGCTTTAGCCTTTAGCGTTTACGAATGTTCACAAAGTTTGAGGTACAATCATTATCCTTATATCAAGCATCGCATGTCACTTTTGTAACCGACAGGATCGCCCGTTCATTGCATAATAGTAATTCAGGCACATGCTCCTGAAGTAGTCGACACGTGAAGGTCCGGGTTAGAATTGGTCTTCAGTAACCCATGCTTGTCGTAAGAGGCGACTGACGGGATCGGGTGGTCAGGCTTGCTGGCTTGGTTGACACATGTCATCGTATCCCAATTGCATATATCGATGCTAATGCTGTTGTTCACTGGATTGTCTGGTCCAGACTCATTATTTACAGGCCGCCTTACAGCTGGAATATTGTTGAGTGCGGCGTAAAACTAAACTCACTCACTCACTCCCGAAGTAGTCGGAACTGTACAATCTCCTCTACTTTCTACAGATATGTCTGTTGCACGTGGAAAGGATTTAGTCGCTTATATTTTATTATCATTTACGCAAAACATATCAGTGACTGAAAGTGTCTCCAACATTATATTTAAACAGTCATCACATTGTGACGGGAGAACCTCGAGGCTGACTTCCTACAATTCCCGTTTCTCACTGATAGGATATTTACAAACTGGGAGTACATCCATACATCCAGAACAAACAACTGTTGGTCAGGTGGTAAATGCATTCAGATATTTGAAAAGTATTTGACGATTCTGTTTCCTTCTTCAACAAGTAACGCAGTAGTTACGTCTATACCTGTACAGGTGCAGGACACTGACGAGGTACGCACCTGGTACGACAAGGGAGTCATGATGCCGTTCAACGTCAACAACATTGACGTCACTGTGTGTGCTAACTTCCTGTTTGGCGTCACGAATGGAATCATTAATGGCCTCTTCGAACCATCGATATTAGATGACCCTGACATAATGGTAATGTGTTTTCAATGGTTGTGAAAAATTGATTCTTTTATTCTTACAGGACACACACCTCGCACGTCTGCAGCGTAACACGCCACACTGTATTGCAACTAGTTACATATACTGTTGGATTAATGGACCAGTGCAAATGACGTGATTGTACAATGTATTTTTATTTCAGCAAATGTTCTTATGATTACGGAAAGGACGCCATCACATATATTTACGCACATCGCAATATAATGTTTGTAGTGTGACAATAACTTCCAACCTGACTGGGGAACAAATTCTAAATCATAAGTGTTCAAAATTATTCTCCATCGTAATTCTTGAACCTCACCTCTAGAAATATTTCTGCTTGACAATTTAGCCTTGGCAATATCATGTCGCCTATCATATTGTCATATTTTCAAAATACATGAAAAAATATTTCCTACAGAATCTTATGTTGGCACAAACTGCATCCATGTTTTGTTCCTACTGTGCCTTCACACGTACACACGAGATATCTTGTGGTCACGATGACGAAGAAATGGTCGTTAACAAATGTACTCCCGATAGTATCTTCACAGGAAACTTTTACATCCATGTGATCTTGACATTCTGTATCAACCAACCATACAGAGTTCATTGCGAGAATATCAGATATGAAATATTTAAGACATGTTACAAATGACCATCGTTTGCATTTTTCCAAACAAACTATTTTGTGGAATGGGGAATGTTTAACTCGTACCTAGAGCGGCTCCTTGTATGTCGCTAGTCATTGAGTTATGAGGTTTAACATTGTGGAAGCGTTTAAGTAGTTTGTTCACACAAACGCCCTACTTTCTATTTCAGAACATCTACAACGACACCGCCAGGATGATCGCTTTCCAAGTCCAGACCAACTTCTCTGACCGAGCAGACCTGGCGTTGACGTACTACCCCTCTGTCATTGAGTTCTACTGGTTTGTGGCCAGAACGTACAACAAACTCCAGGAAACCCTGGACAGGACGGGGTCGCTGCCTCATAAGGTGTTGTCGGTGGCTGTCGAAACGTTACTTAAGCCATTCACATTCCAAATCTCTGTATGCCTCAATGAATTATAACAATCAAACGTGGTAAGCTTAAACCTTATATATCCTTGGTGCTCACTCTCATCCGTGAACTATTGTACTATTTGTTCCTGTATGGCATCTGAAATGGTAATAGTTGTATGGCATGGTTAAAGGTCACATGCAACCAAAAAATCAAACATAATTAAAACACAATTATCACTTATTCGTGACATATGATATACATTGCTGGTTATGAAAAAACATATAAACAAAATTATAAGCGTACAATCGCAAATCAAAAGTGCAATATTGTGTACTTCGGTTTACTTCCCAAGAAACGAAGCAGCCGGGATACCGAACCCAGTCAGAGCGGGTGGGTGTGCACTCAAGTGTAACGGCTGGTTCATTTGCGTATGCCCTCGCGGCTTATTGCGTGTGTATATGTAGAGATGTTGGGTTTTGTAAATACATGCTCATTTTTTGTGTATAGCATTTTGCAATCAACAGACATCATAACATGTCAAGTGTTCAACTATCACACCTGCCTGTCTGTGTAATTACATAATGTGACTGAGACCGAACTCGGGCCATAAATCAATGCATTTTGTTTATGGTGTATAGCCTGATTGGTGTTAAGTTCAAATTGCATGTGGTCAGTGATAGCAGCTGTGTATTGAATATTGTCATTGGCAGACAGGCAGGCAGACACACAGGTGTCAATAAAACAAGACATTGAGTTTTGTCTGTGACAACGACATATCTATATCACAGTTAGAAATTCTGTCAACGCTAAATAATGACCTTGCTTTTAAGTATCGAACTGAGAAAGTGACTCGGTAAGAAGAACGTGTGGTGAAATTATATAAACAGTTAATTTACTGTCATAACATATAAAAAGCTCGCGCCTGTGAGATATCAACAAAACATTAGAAAAATAGCTCACACCAAAGCCTTCACCGAGTATTCACCGGACAACCCGCTTCCAAGCTGCGCGAACCTATTTCACTGCGCACGTGCTATGAGCGCAGCCCAGCTGTTGAAACCCGTTTTCCCCAGAAAAGTCGGGGGAAAATTAGTGAAACGTTTGAACTCCGATTTCGCGCGGTTTTTTTCATCGCGTTATTTTTCAACTTTATAAGTTGAATTTGCATTTTTGACGATTTGTTTCGGTAAGTCCATACCGAAAGGTATCAGAATCTGCAAAGTTGTGTTTTACGTTGCATGTGACCTTTAAGATAAAGTTCGGTACCTAACTGATGATCAGAACATGTTTAGGCTATTTGAAATGGAAACTATGGGTTGTATAGCGCGCATATATCGATATAAAGATATATATATATATGCGCGCGCGCGTGTGTGTGTGTGTGTGTGTGTGTGTGTGTGTGTGTGTGTGTGTGTGTGTGTGTGTGTGTGTGTGTTAGTTACATACTTTATTGATATCCAAGTGGATACAGGAAGACCAATCGCCACATCCACTTCTTCAACTAAACTGTGTATGACCTTGCAGGGCATGAACCAGGTTCTGGCGGACTTTAAGGACGTGTTGAGAAGGTATGCAAGTCCCCGGATCCTAGCCCTGGGAACACCGTCCTCGATGTATAACCTATCCACTCTATACTTCGACGACTTCCTCGGTGATGCGGATACAGACTACGACAACAAACCTGACGTACGTTTTTGGTCATATGTGGGAACATTTGTTGCGATTGGCAGTGTTATGACTCTGACGTCATTTACATAACCGTTTGTTCTCAAGAAAACTTTGTGGAACATCTCCATCGTAATTCTTTTCTTGGTATAGAAACACAGTTTTATTTGAAGGGATCATGATCCTGGTAAACAGGAAATATGGGAATTCTAATCTCACACTAACTTTCCTGGTTACACTAACGTTAGTGTGCCAAAGTCCCTATCACCTTGGAACATACAACATAGAGTCATGACCACAACACTGGCACGACTTGAGGAGCACTGGCTTGGTGCCTCCATTCTTTGGTAATTGATTAATCTTCACTGTACCAGTTATTATTTTCTTTCTTTATGAAACTTTATACCACAATAAATTTATTTTGAGCATACGATAGAGTGTTTGTATTTATGCTTGGGAAGAGCAAACATTCGTTTTTGACCCAGAGGGAGTAATGCTGTGTAATAAAACAGATTTTAAAACAGTTTCTTGACTGCTAACCCTACAGTAAATCTCCTTTGTCGATGCATACTATCTATCATACTGTTTTCATGTTAAAATTGAGAACTTATATTGATGTTGGCGAAGGGAAAGCATACGTTGAGAGAGAAACTGAGAAATTGATTGCTGACCTCATCCCTTTTGGCTGAAACCCATGTAGCGTGTTGTATAATATTTGATATACTGTAGCCCGATCCTGAAGATCGTATATTCACCACGTCGATGGCCTTGACAGCTCTGCTGACCATCTGGACGACGCAAGACCAGCACACAGGGAACATGATCTGGGATCCAGGTAGAGCTTGATATGTCGCATTGGGGCGCTTCGGTATCTCTGAATAGTTGGGTGTTTGATCATTTCTGAATTTATATTATTAACCTTTTCATGGTAAGTGCAAATACAGTCCAGGATTTGTCATGAGGGATTCTTGAGATGGTTTGACCGCCATTGCGGTCAATGCAAAAATAGCACAGTATTTAACATTTTCATCCATTGTCATCCATTGTCACTCACATGAGATTAACGCGTAAATATGATCTTGGCATGACACGGCAAAACAGTTCCTACATTAGGCATTAGAGTGATACACGTATTGTATATTTTGCATTCAAACTGTAGAACGCTTGTCGTGACCAGCGGATGCTAAAGTTGGTTTTAAACAGTCAATAAAACACTCAAGACTTCAAATGTCGGTTCATGGAACACGGACCATCATACTATCGTGGCTTCCATTTCTATGTCCCAGATACTCCTGTGGATGTCAAGAGGGCTGCCAACCTGACGGTCACGTGGATGTACTACAACATCAACGGGATGCAACCTCTGTTGCCATGGAACGCTGTATTCTCGGGATCATTCAAAGGCTCCACAGTCAGTAAACAATCTGGCATTTTTTACAGCTGCAGCCTCACCATATGTCAATCTTTATTTCTTATTTCGTTTGGTGGCAGGCATCAAGAAACTGGGCACACAAAGTGGCCATTAGAATTGTGACTGGATCTGACATTTATAACTCTTTCTGAATATCTGCAATAGGAAAGAATGGGACACTTCAAGGTATCAAAACTTACAGTCGATACCTCTCAGGGGGCGCTTGGGATCTGCAGATTTGTTCATACAGACTAGTTTTACTAATGAGACAAAAGCTACTTTATAGATACACTTTGGAATCAAATTATTACTAAAAGGTTTAAGGATTGGGTGTGAAACCAACATGAAAATGTGATGTAATTTGCACTGTATTTCAAAATTAACCACTTTCAAAAATCAGTTCAAATCGTTCAAATCAAAGATAATATAATACAAGAGCAGTGATTGTAGAAATTCAGATATAATCAACTTGCAACCAGGCCAAGGTAGGGCTGAATCATCACACACTATGTCCTGTGTTCTGGTGACTTGCGATGTAGCGTAAGTTGAGAGGCAAGAGTTAATTCCCTTTATATACCTGTCAAAGCTATGCTATCAATATCCACGCTAAGGCAGACAGATCAGGAATAAGCTCATTACAGCTCCTTCCTGATCATTCTGTCTAAATCGAGAACATGTTTAAATACAGCCCATAACTGCCCCTTACTGAATCAGTAACGATGTATAGCAGTCGAATACTTGTTGTAGATCGCATCACACTATCTTATAACACATGATGATATTATTCCACAAACATGCACATTCGTAAAATTTGTCATTACAGACAGTCGGATTCGATTACCCATTAAACAGACTTGAGTTATTCAATGGGACGAAAATAAATAGGACAGAGATTCGCAACGAGAAGTTTATCCAAGGAGTAGAAGGGTTCATCCCCGAGGACGAGTACAAAGAAATGGTGGAGAAACTTCACACCCCAACCGTCTTCCACGGCTACAACAACAACGGAGAATTCTTCCCCTTCTGGTCATCTGAAGCCTACACCTACGTCATCGGGTTGCTTGGATTTGGGAAATACATTGGGACTATGTAATCGTGATTGAATACCAATAAATCCACATGTTGTATTGGTATTGTCTTGCCTTTGTCTTCCGCAAATCATTTAACCATATATCCCTACCATGTTCAAGCGATCGGGTAGTATAATAGTGAACACGTTTCTGCCTTCATTCCAGGCATTGGTTGAAAGTGTGAAGCTCACTTCCGGTGTGCTGCAGCGATATTGATGGAACGTTGTTGGTGTAAAACCGAGTCCTCACCATTCAACCTGCATCATTTTGTGTTTTATCCCGAAAACTGCAAGTGAGATGCGTTCCATTAATCAATTCATCTGTATAGTCGATGCCTTGGGATATTTAAAGTAAAAGCCTGCAATGTCTGTTCGTTTACGTTTCACTCAGAAATGCACAAGGTAATTAACGTTTGCCCGTAAATAATCGAGTTCACGAAGTTTATTGATGTTAAGTTATTTCAAGATATGAATCCGAAATGATTTGCTTAATGGATGGTTAAACACGCACCTATATGTATGCACGCTATCTGGGGGTTACGATAAAATGAATGTATAATGTGTAACACTCACCAGTATAATTCTCCTTTGAGGATTATGGTGTAACGACCAACATATCCCTTTCCACAGTCATACAATACATCTTACAGCACCGTTTACTGTGCGATGCCGACTATATAGCATGTCTTAATGAATCACTGATGATGGCGGGTGTTCAACATACTGTGACCATATCCTGCTCCAACGTTAGCCGCCTTCCTGAAATAGTCATGCGTTTCGTACAGGAAATTTGGGGAATATCACCTGACCGTCATTGAAACTGATGAAACCCTTTTACATAGTGCTCGGCGCCTCAGACACAACACCTTAGCTAAGCTGTTCTAAGGTCTTGACTTGTAAAACATCCAAAACATCTCTAATCAATGGGAATTATTATCAACGTTGGTTGGAGTGAATGAGTGTTCCTTACAGAATAATTGTCATTGTTAAAGAGAATTCTTTGCACTTCATTTGATTAAGAAGATAGATACATTATGTTTACAACAGAGAGTGTTCCGAGTTTGACAGGTATAGAATTATTAATAATTTTTTTACGAATGAATACCCTTTCGTAAATGGCCATTTCACGGTAGCCATTTTCTACCGCCTAAGGTTGCTCACAATGGATGTAGTTATTGTCAAATATTCTTTAGTGCAGAGTATGATTACACATGTTTGTACATGGTTGGTTTAATGTTGGAGATAAGACCAGGCAGATGATGCGTTTAATTTCTTCTGGGACTTCTGTTGGGATATTTGGGCCCATGTTACATTAGGTTTTGGAACTGTTGCGAATCATGGATAGATTACCACTGAAACATTATGCTATATTCCATGACAGATTATAAGCAAAGTGAATCAATTCATGTCAGTGTAACGAGAGAATGAGGTAAAAGGGAAAGGTTCTCAACAGAAGAGAAGTGTCAGAATGAGGAATATAAGTCGACACAGTGAAAAGATCGTGACACAAGTAAAGAGATCATTGTCAACTGGGGATTCAGATTACCAAGCAAAAAAATCAAAGGACTTTTACACAAGTTAAGAAAGAAACATATACCCTACAGTGTGACCAGTATACTGCCCTGGTTAGCGTATCTGTGTCCAAAGGAGCTACGTGATAACAGAACATGTCAGCAGGCCAGGTGTTCTCTGGCCTATAATGTGTTGGCATAGTCCCCAGAACGCTATGCGGACAACTATCACCTGTGGTTCACGGAACGCTAGTATAGTGACAACCATATAGATAGTAGCTCTGTAGTTGCTGGTTTCTACAAAACCCATCAGACTTTCTGAGGTGAACAATGTGTACTGTTGTACCAAGGTCTTCACGTACACTTGCCGGACATGCCGGTTGAGATATTTTATTTAAGCCACTGCTACCACTGATAAGATAAGAACACTGCCATGAAACAGCTGGTTTTTGTCTTTGTCAATCTCTGGAAGTGAAGTTCATCATACCGCCCGACACATACACACGTGAACATTTCTTACAGAACTGAATGGGCGACAGGGGGAGTGAGTGCGTGGCAGGTGCGTGGCAATATCCCCTGAATGAAACGATGCCGCTCGATCATAACCAAATAAATTTCCTTTCTCAAGTTGACAGACCAATACTTTGACATACACAAATAGACATGTATTCGATGACTTGCAAGATCGATTTGATGGGACAACAAACCACAAGATCGAGATTCGCATCCCAACTGTGAGACGTTTGTCCAGTGTGCAGAAACAAGGCGACATCCCGTAAGAGGCGAAACGACGGACACAAACACATGATGGACGACCTTCATGCATCCCTGGAACTGCAACGTCTTCCTTCATATCCTTTGAAGGCTACGTCATAGTCACGGATGTTGGGAATGGGGAAGGAAAATGATTGTTACTTTGAAATAGCGAAACAAACGTCCATACATCAGCACGTATATAATTGTTCGACATGGTCAGTATAATTATCGTCCGAATCAAATATCGTCGAATTGTTTCGAATATTTTTAGGTCTCACTGCAGATTCAGTGTTTCTATTACCATGTTGTTGAGAGGTGTTTAATTCCCCACATTCTTTAAGTATGTGTTGCGAAGCGGCCGTAAAAGCACTTTAGGTTTCCGCATTCGTTCATTCTCTATGCTGTAGGCATGTTTGCAGAGTTGCATCCCTTAGTTTTCAGGGCTCTGCCGTATGGATTTGAAATAATGCTTTCTTCCGATATTATCTTTTGGTATGCTGTGATCATTAGTTCAATAAAATGTCAAACTATTACATACTTTTTGTGTCAATGCAAGAGCTACATACTTTTGAATGCATAGACAGTTTGCCAGTGCTTGTCGTTATGTACGCAATGTGTATATGTGCGAGTATTTTGTCCATGAAGTGCGTTTATGAGTTCCTTAAAAGATATGAAGTGTTTACGTCCAGCTGTTATAATTATATGCCATAACACTGTTCACATAATATATAAGGAACATATTCCACAGCGTCAAGAGAATATTTATAGGAGGATCAATAAGAAATGATTGGTTCACACAAAGTTCACCCCTTGTTAAAATACATTGGCAGAACCGCATTTCAAAGGGCTTTCTAACAAGATAATGTTTTCCGCTCGGATATAGGAGCTATAGCAGTTACACCATTACAAGTAGAGGTCGTTATGTTCACTGAAATGCGGGTAAATGTTTGTCAACACTGTGGAGTCCTACTAGAACATTACCGCCTCGAGGCTGGACTAGCGACCCGACGGCCCACCACACCGTCAGTGTAACCAATGGCAACTAATGCAAAACACAAACAAAGGAAGCACCCAAAACATAAATACACTGTACATGTCCATATACATGTCCATATACATGTACAAAGAAAACCTGTAAATTAAAATATATGAATACAATTTAGACAGACATTATCAATAAACTTAATATATTTTTGTCACTGGAACATGGCTCAAGGTAAAAGTCCATTTAGTGGCGACACATATTTGTAGGCATGTATGAACATCTTGCGATTAAGTCATTACATTTGCTCCACATTGTTTTCCCATAGTGCTAAATACACATCTGGGAGTACGTTAACATTTAAGCAACCTTTGTAATTTTCAAGTGCATTATATATACTGATTCAAGGATGCTCACGAAACTCGAGGACGGTTGACATAATCGTCCAAAGGGACGGAATTCGCTGTGTAGATTTACCTCCCTTTGCTGTGCTGAAATAGAAGGACGCGGTTCGAATTCCCAATTCGTCCGAGTTTTTCCGGGTTTGGTAGCACCAGTCCTTGACTAATGGTTTCCCGAAAAGTGGTAAATATGTATGATCCGTCAATTAGGCCCAGTCACTCCTCACGTGTGATATGCCGCCATGTCCAACCAGGCATCAAACCCACGTCACTCACTCACTGAATACACATGAACAGATTCGACGTTGATAGTTCACCATGCAGCACAACTGCATCGGACACGACATGCATGGTCACGTACATCTGACTATCTTAGGACTTGCCATATACACTGGGGTCCAGCTGCTAAAATTAAAACATAATAAGGAATTTAGATACACTGTCTCAGAGATTGATAAATATTGTGTCCACGAAGACCAAGCATCACTGGATAACTAATTCCATGCATCAGCGTATCGAGATGTGAATATAGAACAACTCCCAGAGAAACAGCCTTGAGTTGTTACTAAATTGTTTGCCCATTCTGTCACTTACAATTAAGTTCAGAGGTGTGTTGAGGTGAAATTGGGTTTTACGTCGTACTTGAGAACATTTCGCTCATATGACGACGTGCATGCGTGTGTATGTGTATGTACGGCTGCTTGTACTAGCCCAGACTTAGTCTGGTTTTATAGTGCTAGCCCACTGAGATACCATGCAGCAGTGAAGCATGAATACCCCACTCAGACACATTATACTGACTCCGAGCCGACCGGTCCTTGTTGTACCCATGAATGCCGAGCGCCAGGCAGGGACCAACAAGTACCATATTTTAACGTCTTTTTGTATGATTAATATAATTAAGTTCAGAAAACAGACAGAACAGAAGTCAAATAGAAGACTTGTACTACAAACCCCGTGTGTACAATTGACAGCGACATGGTGGAGGGAGTCAACACCAATCACTGAAGCAGGATTCGATACATTTCGCGCAGTAGCTATCACATTTTAGCAACTGTTCATTGAACCTTCAATTGGGGTTACCTGTAATATTCAGTAACATGTTTTAGTCTATAATGGTTATTAACCTTTAGACACCCAGGCTTGAGGCACTGGCCTCTGTCCTGAGTTAGCAAGCCCGTCATAGATGTCTACATGGTCACCTGTGTTGACTACTAGAACATGTCAGTTGTTTAGTGTTTGTGTTTTGATATTGGATAAACCACTCGATCAATGAGCTACTACGGGTAACAAATATTGACGATACTCAAAGGACGCTGGACCGTGATGTACTTGTGTGTAAAGCTGGTAGTATCCTCTTACATCACACGTTGGGGTTTTGTTGTCGCTGTGTTTTGTTAGGTTGTGCTAGGTCATTTCACATGTGAATGTTTGGTATTCTTGGGTAATGGGCATAACGAGAATGCACGACACATGGACGCGAAGATGAAAATCCCGTCTCTGATAGTTCTTCTGTCTGTCGCCTCGATGTGCTTTGGAGGTACGTACTAATAGTTTAAAACTTGAGCTAGGATTTGAAATTTAAGGCAATACCTCAGCATGACTGACGGAACTATGTTTGACACCACTTTAATTGCGTTTCATTTACATCATGGATGCTCGCCCAAAGTGATACAATGTTTGACGTTCACACCATCAGTGAAAACTAAGAGTATGCGTATGATGTGGACACACCTCAAACATAATTAGAGCGACTTTTGGAATCAGACGCATAAGAATACGCCCTTATTGTATTCCAACACCTTAGACGATTCTGCCACCCGAGTCACCTGCACGTATTGTTACTTTCATCACATTTATCCAAAGGCAACGATATGCGACTGAGTTAATTTGAGGGTATAATCGTCAATAAGGTAATCTCATCTACAGTATATGACATTTCATATCCTAGGTCTTTTTCATGTCTACCCATATCTTAGCTATGATACATTGCGTTCACACTCACACTTACTTTTGTAGCATCAGAAACATTATACGCACATACTTAATGTGTAATGGTGTATGTATATAATATATGAAAAACATTCCATTACATTACCTGTGTTAGTGTGAATATTGAAGGCGTTTTGTCATGTCTATTTGTACTTTGCACTGTGATATGTTTCATAAGCGAAATGGAAGCATGGTTATATTAAAATGTAGTAAAAATAAACGATGTTTTATTTTTTTTCGAAGCACGAAACAACATAGGCAAGGAATTCATTGTCGGATTTCTTGACAACGAAGAGACAGGGACGTCCTTGGATTTGGAAATATTCGTCACCACAATCTCCAACAGTCCAGCGAACGTCACAGTGACGGCTCCAGCCTATATTCCAACTCTTCTCCTCGAGACCATCGTCGCCAGGGGAACCGTTTCAAAACTGACCTTGCCCTACGTACTACGCGGCGTGGGTTCAGCCTCGGAAATGAAAGGAATATTGATAGAGTCCACGGAGGAAATAACGGTTTATTGTGTCAACCAAGAAACGTACTCTACAGATGCCTTTGTAGCGGTGCCAACTGAGGCATTAGGTACATCTTACTATATCTTGACGTACCGAACCAACCCGGAAATGTTGTTCGTGGGGACAGAGGACGGTACAGACATCCACATCATATTGCCGTCGCCATCGCAACCAATCAGCATCGTCTTTGGCGGCGTCACCTACATTGATGGAGATGTGCTAAAGCTTCGTATCGGTCGCTTCGAAACGGTACATCTTTATCAGGAACAGACCAACGTGGATTTCACTGGGACATTTATACAGGCTAATAAACCTATCGCTGTGTTTTCGGGAAACAGGAAAATTCCGGTTCCGATTCTAGCCGGAAGTTCTGACCACGTGGTGGAGCAGATGACGCCGATCAACACGTGGGGCAAGGAGTTCGTCTTCATCAGTACTCCAGACAGAACCACAGGGGACCTGGTTCGAATCATGGCAGCAGAGGCCTCAACTACAGTGACCATCAGTGGTGTCGGTAGCATCACTATCGCAAGTGCCGGTAATTGTCATCTGTTGTACCCTAGCAACGAGAGATCGATGAGGGTGGGAAAGCGAGACGGATGGATGAATGGGTGGGTGGGTGGATGGATGGATGGGTGGATGGATGGGTGGATGGATGGGTGGGTGGGTGGGTGTGTGGTTGGGTGAATGGTGTATTGAGGGGCCAATGGATGGTGATGATGGATGCAAGGTACAATACCAGTGCCTTTATTCCAGGTGGGTTCTACGAGCTGGGAATAAATTCTGGAGAAGTAAAATCCATCAGTGCCTTGAAGCCAGTACTTGTGGGAGTGTTCAGCAAAACCGATGCCGGATCCGACCCGAATGGTGGCGATCCGTCTATGTACCTGTTGACCCCTAGAACACAATACGCCCCCAACTACGTATTCAGTACAATAGAGACGTCAACCGGCAACTTCACCAACTATCTCAGCATCGTTGTCAACGTCAACGCGACTTCGGGTCTCCGATTGGATAATGTTGCTATCGATAGTCTAGGCATTACGTGGATAAATGTGCCGGACTCAGCAGGTAAATACTGATATTATTATACACATTAGTAGTGGTAGTAGTAGTAGTTGTAGTAGTAGCATTATGAGTAGTTGTGGTAGTAGCATTATTATTAGAAGTAGTAGTAGTAGTAGTAGTAGTATTTGTTGTAATATTAGCATTAATAGTAGTTGTGGTAGTGGCATTATTTTTATTAGTAGCAGTAGTAGTAGTTGTTGTGGTAATAGTAGCATTATTAGTAGTTGTGGCAGTGGCATTATTATTTTTAGTATTAGTAGTAGTAGAAGTTGTTGTGGTAATAGTAGCATTATTAGTAGTTGTCGTAGTAGCATTATTAGTATTTTTAGTATTAGTAGTAGTAATAGTTGCTGTGGTAATAGTAGCATTATTAGTATTTGTGGTAGTAGCATTATTATTATTATTATTATTATTAGTAGTAGTAGTAGTAGTAGTAGTAGTTGTTGTAATATTAGCATTATTATAAGTTGTGGTAGTAGCATTATTATTTGTATCATTAGTAGTAGTTGTAGTTGTAGTAGTAGTAGTAGTAGTTGTTGTGGTTGTGGTTGTATTAGCATTATTAGTAGTTGTGGTAGTAGCATTATTATTAGTAGCAGTAGTAGCAGTGGAAGTAGTAGTAATAATAGTAGTAGTTGTAGTAGTAGTAGTTGTAATATTAACATTATTAGTAGTTGTGGTAGTAGCATTATTATTTATATTATTAGTAGTAGTAGTAGTTGTTGTTGTAGTAGTAGCATTATTAGTAGTTGTGGTAGTAGCATTATTATTATCAGTAGTAGTAGTAGTAGTAGTAATTATAGTAGTAGTAGTAGTAGTAGTAGTAGTAGTAGTAGTAGTAGTAGTAGTAAAAGAAGAAGGGGTAGTAAAGTAATCGTGGAAGTTTTAGTTGTAAAAGACGAAGTATTAGGAGAAGGAGTAGTTAAATTACTGGTGAGTGTGGAGAACGTCTCCTTGCAACAGACGTTCCAGCAGGAGTAGACGCAGTAGTGGTAGCATGTACCCCACGTATATAACCTCTCATTAACATTTGAAAAGCTATACGAATAATAGAGACCTCTTACTGTCATTACCGTGGGGCGATACGCTGAAAGCAACAAAGAGAAGCATCTACAGAATTGTTATACTGACTTGCTAACTGTTACACCAGTGCGGGTAAGGCTGATTCCTCGGACAAAACAAACACCAGTTTTTCATCCACTTCATCAATGCTGATGTGTTTTTAACTTCGGAGTTGATTCACAGAAAATTGCTGGTGGGTAACTTAGCTATATGTGTGTAGACAGGAAGGTACCATCCGTTGTCGAGGTCGTTGCTATATTGCAGATTTGGTAGCCGGAACTGTCAGCGTCAGTCCCGGTAGTCACGACGTCTACCACGAGGACCCTACTGTTGTCTTCATGGGTTTATGTACAGGGGTAGCGCCCTTCTCATCGTACGCCTTCTCGTCAGGGATGCGACTTGGATTGATCAATGAGGTAGGCACAGTGTGGGGGCTACACCACAGTAACAACACAAGCTTTCGAAATAATTAACGTCGGCCCTTAGGCCAGAAGCCGACTGAAAACCACTCGGACCCACAGCTTTTGTTTTCTGCCGGTCCTCATCGCCGACAGCTTTTTCATCCACAATAACTAAGCGTATTATTTACAAATGATTATATAGGGCCTACACATCGGATCATGACCCACAACTTTTAATGGTTCTGGGTCCTTAGGGCCTGCAGCTTTTCAGGGTTAAGGGCAAACACTGAACCAGAACGAGTACTTACACCAGCAGAGCTAGTCTAACTTCAGAATAATATAATTTTAATCACAGTAAACTGTGATTGAGTGCGTGAGTTGGTTTTAACAGAATATCACTCGTATCAGTTATCGTGTTTAATTGACGTGGGAGATGAGCCCACGGTGTTACAAGTGACATTCGTAGATATCCCCCACTTCGGTGAAATTTACTACAGTCCGTTTGATTTCATTTAAGACCGATGAATTGCTCACTAACACAAAATCTAATAATTGCAACAAAACGAAATTTTGCACAGTCACATGAAATCGACATACCAGCTCTGATGATTTGTTTCATAATTTGTTTCATAATTTCTCAAATGAAATCAAACGGACTGTAAGGGTTGTTTCTGATAATCTAGAAATATCAGGGCGAATGTGGGATTCGAACCCATTACATGTCTGCTGGGCGTAAGGGAAACAATTCATAACTAACTGCGACGCACTGGCCACGATGTGGGTGTTCAAAACAAGGTCACACTTGTTACGCAATTCCCTTTCCAGCAATCGCACTTTACCGCCCAAGTTCCAATCGCCTCAGACCCATGTTACATACTTCTGCAAAAGTTGAACTGTTTGAAATCCAATAAACACCATGACTATAGTTTCGTGATATAATGTGGATGTTCATATAAAGATACATTTACACGGCATCGTTATTGCTTCTACTGTTTAGCCCTGTTCCCCTACAAGTGCCGTTCCCGGTGATGTCGTGGACAATGACTGTGACGGTCGGATTGATGAAGAAGAAGCCAATGGAATCGGTAATATAAAATGTTATGGTTTAGGATAAATTGATATGCGCCATATCCATTGACCTCGTTACGGTCTGTTAGTTCAGAATATGGATGTTTCTATTGTAGCATTGACACAGCTTGATCAGTGTTTGTTTGGCAATATAAAACAGTTCTCGGTTGATACCCAATACAGAAATTGATCTCTTACAAGAGGCTAAATGCTCAAAATGTGATTCTCTGATCTACTAATTTTGACAACAAAAATGTAATGATTGATATTTTCGGGGTTTGTTTTCTTCTATAAGGAATACGTAGAACCACCGCGTTACTCGATATGGTGCACTGGTTGAATTTGTAAAAATCTGGATATATTTTAATACGTGCTTATTCACATGTTCCTGTCCTTATGAAAATGTCATTTATACACAACAACGTTGATGTTTAACATCACTTCCTGCGCTCGACTATAACACTAATACAGAGAATTGTCCCAGGAATTAAAGAATGTTAAATCTATTTTCAAGTGCCTGGTGTAGTTATGTAGTTTCGTACTGTTCAACAAGTGAGGGTTGACGATCAGGGATCGATTTACTGACAAAATATCTGAGAGTTGTAATTGTTTGCTGATGATTTGCGGCTATGACACGCGTTCTCACTGAACACTTCAATTCCAGATGATGACAATGACGCGGCTATAGATGAAGATTTAGCTGCTCCAAGGCGAGGTGGGTCGATATGGATACAATAAGCTGTTAAAATACCTGTACAATGCTCATCAGGTGAAAACCGCCACTGGTTTTACGCCATTTTAGTAACATTCCAGCACTATCACGTCGGGGAACACCAGAAATGGGGCATGTAAACAGTCAGCGCTTTGCAAACGTCGTACGGTGAATCCTCTTATTTCCTTCATGACAAATGTGTTTCTTAAATTGTCTATGAGTGTTAGCTTCCAACGAGAAAGGTATCTCTGCTCACAACCGAGTCTGGCATACCTTCTCTGTCACGTGCTATCGGTAGTCACGTGCTTCATGATGTTGAAGTTCAAAATGTGTTTGGGGGCTTAGTTTATTCGGACATGTCCTTGCCGGGTATCTCCAGATAAATCACTTGCTTTCCTTGCCAGACACTGGTGTGTGTTTCACCTCAAAACAAACTCTATTTTTGCATAGTATTTACATAACATGGCTATGTAAGAAGAATGATAATCAAACGCAGCTATCATACCATAGGTATAGCCGTCACAGTTAGCAGATGACATATTGGATCTTTTGTAATCGGTAGTTAATGGAGGCTTCAGCGTTTGGACATCTTGGACCACGTGTACAGTCAGCTGTGGCGGGAACGGAACAACCTCCCGGAACCGGAACTGTGACAATCCTGCACCTGCGCAGGACGGCTTGCCGTGTTCAGGGAGCCTGTCCGAGATAGAAGTCTGTGTGTCCGCAATCGCCGATTGTCCTAGTAAGTTATAAAAAGAAAACAGCCCGCCTCCACAATCAGGCGTTATCGCTGTGACTATTTTAATCTGTGACTATTTTAATCTGTGTAATAATAATAATAATAATAATAAGGTAAGGTAATCGGGGCATACACTCTGACGTGGACATTCGTAGAGTAAACGAACATGTTGATTAGGGGGTGACTGGAATTTATAGCCAACTGGACTGTACTTAGAGTTGCAACTACTGTCCATATACAGCAACAAGGGTTATGTGTCATTCTTGTAATCACAGATGCCAGTGGTTTTGTTATGAGCATTTTCATTGTGATACATAAATAATATTACAGTATCCGTTACGATATTCTTCATTAAAACAGTACATTTATTTCTTAACCTTCAATGAAACGTAACGAGGGTTGACAGATACCGTTACAGCAAAGACAAACTGTTGTTGTGGAAATTCCGCGATGTCACTGAGGTGTATAGCCAAAGATTTTAGTCAGTTAAATTAGGCCGGTTTGCTGTGAGAAGCAAGTGTCTGTGACCCATTAGGTCACATGAAAATGAAAGAAACTTCTTAAGGACTATGCAGTGGTTGAATACTTGCAGACTGGAGAGCAAAAGCAATAATTCATAAAGTTGGGGAAGGAAATGTAGAAAGTGGACAGCAGTGTTTGAGTCTGACAGGGAGAACCAGGAGGATTCAGGGACGCATGCTACGTCACTGACATCGGAATGGAACCATAATTTTATTTCAATTTTTAGTCTCGAGTGTTAAAGCAAATATTAACAGTTGTGAAAACCAGAGATTCGTGGCATCTTTATGTAATTTGATAAACGTTTGAGATGACTTACATCGGATGACTGCAACCGACTATCCCTTGTATTAGCATATGTATGGACAGTGATGAACGGTAAATATTTTGAGTGAATATTTGCATATGCCAACTTGTCAGAACAACAATCACAACAGGGGCGCATCGGAAGGCAATGACTGTCCCCTCAGTTGGACATGCTCTATCGTCTTTGTTCGGCTGTGACCACAGTTATGATAAAGACTCAGGTGAGAAAGGTAGAGCACTTTCATCGGGACAATGTGATAGTCCAGAAGCAGCCATTGTGAAAATCCATGAGTGTAGCTTTGAATTTATTCAGCAACCATCACATTCTCCTTAATAAACCATCGTCTCCTCAAGAAACTCGAAGAAATTAAAACTGAAACACACAAACTACTATTCCATTCAGAATCGAGTGATGATGTCACAGCAGCAATGTAGCCCATCATTGAAAGCCAAGGAACGACTTCAGTGAAACAGGGATAAAATCCTGTAAAAACAGAAACTTGTATCTCTTTGGCAAAGGATTTATGTGAAAAAGTAAACATTTCCATGTGAGGTTCTGGATTTACCAATCAATCCAAAAATATAAACAGTGTAACCACGACACGAAGTCCTTAGTGATTCGTGCCAGTTAGCTGATATGGCCAACATTATGCTTCTCATATCTCCTGCATATGTCGGTATATTTATTGATATTGTATAGTTGATGGGAAGACATGGGATATGTTGACTATACGTTACAGGTATTTTCATTGTTATTGGCATTCTTGACGGTATTTTGCAGTTGACGGCAACTGGTCAGAGTGGGGCAACTGGAGTGCTTGTTCGGTGACCTGCGGAAGTGGAAACCTGACGAGGTCAAGGTCATGTACTGAGCCTGCTCCACAGTTTAATGGGACGGACTGTGTAGGCGTTGCGGAGGAAGCTCAGTCGTGTGATACAGGCGTTCTTTGTCCAGGTGGGAGAATTCACATTTTCCATATATCGAACTCCACAATACATATGATTCAAGCTCTAACTTAATTGTGTTTTGTTTTCTTTCAACACTGCTTACAGTGGATGGCAACTGGGGTGTCTGGACTCCATGGAGCGTATGCTCTGTGACCTGTTCTTCAGGGTCACGTGAGAGGTCAAGGTTATGCGATAACCCTGCGGCGGCTAATGGCGGAGCGGACTGTGTTGGACAAGCTAATGAAACAGAATCATGCAACACTGGTGTCAGCTGCCCGGGTAAGACGTTACTTCATCCTTCATCCTGAAGCGTTTTCGTGCAGTGACAAATGCATGTGAAAAGAGAATGGCATATTTGCAAAGTTAATTGCTTTCCTATGGAAGTTTATGGCTGCTTACCGAATAAAATATACTCATGGGAAATGGTATCGCATCACCTATGATTTTTAACCCCAATGTGGTCATTTACATTCATGTCATAATTATGCTTAGTGACTATCTTTACCCTCCGTGCGCACCCCTCATCATTTTAGATCAAACGCGAACAGGTACAAGTGTATATGCAACACGTCTGCCCTGTATTACGTTTCAGTAAAGTGTTCTTTAAAAGTTGGTGTGTTAGTTGATTTCGCTGTTGATAACTAAATATGGGGGCTTCCTTAGCTGACAAATGTTCAAAGATGGCTAATAGTTACCTTTATTATTATTATCAAATAATCAATGAACCTATCAAACCTATATCGTGTATCTGTCTTTAAATAAAAGATTTTGGCAGTGATAACCGAAGGGGACGTATTTGCGTTTCAGTTGATGGTGGATTTCAGTCCTGGACCTTGTGGAGCGCATGCTCAGTGACCTGTGAAAATGGAACTCAAACCAGGTCACGGGACTGTAACAATCCAACCCCCCAGTTTGGTGGAGCTAACTGTTCCGGGGACTTCACCCAATTATTGTCATGTGACACAGGCATCAGGTGCCCGTGTGAGTATGTTGTCGTCATTCCTATAGATGTGAATACTTTGTGCCATGTCGTATAGTGACATGACAATTGAACCAGTCCCTTCCCCCATACATCTAACTGATAAATTGACCGTGGGTACTGTGCAAGGGCTGTGCTCATGATCAGTCTCTGAAAACCAGTACATGCATTTCTCTAGACATAAGATCTTGAAACACAATATACAGGTAATATCAACATGTACTGAGCTTTACTTAACAATAATGAAACGTAGTGAGGAAGTGTATACGCTGGACTCCTTGATAAAATGATCACAGGAGAAGCACTTGCTTCAGTAAAGATTGAGAGTGTAGCAGTGTCTATGGTGAGTGAGTGAGTCAGTGAGTGAGTTGCGTTTTACGCCATTTTTAGCATTATTCCAGCAATATCACGGCGAAGGACACGAGAAATGGGCTTCACACAATCTACCCATGTGGGGAATCGAACCCAGGTCTTTGTCGAGACAAGCGAACGCCTTAACCACTAGGCTACCCCACCGCCCCGTCTATTGGGAAATACTGTTAACAAACCAGACTTCGAATAAACATGACAGTTACGTTTATGTGTAATTTCGTCACCGTTATGTGGAGGTTATGGTCGATAGAGCTGTGAACTTTGCCACTGATGATCGACATTATGCAATATTTTAGGGTAAATAACTACCGATGGGCACAAGAAATCAATTGCCACTGATGATCAACATTATGAAATATTTTAGGGTAAATAACTACCGAAAGCACAAGAAATCAATTGCCACTGATGATCGATATTATGAAATATTTTAGGGTAAATAACTACCGAAAGCACAAGAAATCAATTGCCACTGATGATGGACATTATGAAATATTTTAGGGTAAATAACTACCGAAAGCACAAGAAATCAATTGCCACTGATGATGGACATTATGAAATATTTTAGGGTAAATAACTACCGAATCAATTGCCACTGATGATCGACATTATGAAATATTTTAGGGTAAATAACTACCGAAAGCACAAGAAATCAATTGCCACTGATGATGGACATTATGAAATATTTTAGGGTAAATAACTACCGAAAGCACAAGAAATCAATTGCCACTGATGATTGACATTATGAAATATTTTAGGGTAAATAACTACCGAAAGCACAAGAAATCAATTGCCACTGACAGATTGGGAAAAGTATGTCAGTTTGGAGAAAATGTGTGTGTTTATTCAACACCACTTTAAACAGTATTGCACTGAGTGATAGCGTGTCAGCCTGGCGTGAGAGGAGAGTCCGGATAGGTGCAAGCGTTTGCTGTTTACCTCTCTCGTGAAGGGGCGATGGGGTAGCGTAGTGGTTAAAGCGTTCGCTCGTCACGCCGAAGACCAGGGTTCGATTCCCCAAATGGGTACAACGTGTGAAGCCCATTTCTGGTGTCCCCCGCCGTGATGTTCCTGGAATATTGCTAAAAGCGGCGTTAAACCAAACTCACTCACTCACTCTTTCGTGAAGCATGCAGGCATGGATTTGGTGCTGTCTAACCTAGACACCAAACCTGTGACCGGTGGTCTCAATCACAGGCAGATAACATATATTGTCTCACACGTTCCCAAGAGTTCCTAACTGTCACACACTTGGTTGACATGTATACAGTATGACACTCACGTTGGTATTTTAGTGCCTGGAGGGTGGGGCACATGGGGGCCTATGAGTGCCTGTTCTTTGACCTGTGGGGCTGGAGTCCGGGTGAGGAATCGGCCATGTAACAACCCTGTACCGGATCCTGGAGGGGACTGTCCCGGTGTGGAGCTTGAGATGGAACAATGCAACACACAAGTGTGTGACCCATCACACAGCAACATGGTGAGAACACATGCAACGATGTATTTTTATATGTTGATAATTTACCTTGGTATTCATGTGAACCTGGCATGTGGACAATATAACTGCATGCAGGATCGGCAGTCGTTAGATCCCTCAAGCTGACCTTTAAGTATGTGTTCAAGGCTCCTCGCCTTAAGGAATAAATTGAAGGAAGTGTTAGTACTGTCGGAAATAGAAAAAAACTGTATTTTCTCATTAATCTCTACAATTTATGTAGTTGATGTGTGAAAGTGTGAAATATCTGTTAAACAAAGTTCGGCCTAACTACAGTCTCAGTGGTAGAGAGATAGGAAAAAAAGACTTATTTGGAAGAGATTAGTGCAAATTAGTGGGCGACGATATTGAATTACAAAGGACACTTTTTAATTGCCCAATTTGAAATTAGACGTAGATTCATTATCAACGATAGCTGACGTAAAATATAATAACTTTTATGCCGAAACTTTTAAGGATGTAGCTACTATGCAGTCTCACTGTCACTATAAAAAGAAGCAGATAGGAGGGGTCGCCTCAAAAGCAAAACCTGGGGTCGGGCTTGGGAATAGAGATATCAGCTAAGATAAGATAATCCTTTAGGGCAATTATACTGGGGAGGTACACGGCACGTCATAACAATTTACAAATAATATCCAGTCCTGTCGATCTTCGGGTGGTCATGCCACCTATATACTACGATGCGTTTCTATGGTTTTCGGGTATCATACTCTCTTACATATCTCAACATAAACTTTATGAAAGAAAGACACGTAAGATGTTAATCAATAGATGAGACATAGTCAACACACATGAAAAAGCACAGAAATAACTTTGAGATGACCCCTTGTGCCTGTAGGCAACACGTGCATTACATGCAAGGTGAGTCGACGGTCCGCCGTCATACCTGACTGAGCGACATAATTGCCATCTATAGTCTGATCTATTGTTTTCAGCAGCTATTCGTAATTTTTCTATGTTTTGCACGAATTTACGAGTAAACATGATTTTCTGGATATCATATTACGCATCCCACTGAACGCCCAGTTAGGCTAAAGTGGGTTATTTCGACATATGCTATTTGCAATTGTGTAAATTTTAGGGATACAGAGTAACAGCCTAAAAACAGGTTTTTTTCTATTTCCGACAGCACTTCTTTTTATAGTGTATAATGTTGCAACTGTACTTTTCTTTCATGCTTCAATGATAATTTTGTGGATTCCCGTGTTCTGTTATTGCGGTTTTTTTAGCACCTGATTACATGCTTGTCATTTAACACTTCAGACATGCATCCATCAGTGGTTTCCATGCAGAGATGGAAGTGCATGCATTTACTTCCTCCTGAGATGTGACTGCTCATACGACTGCGCAGACGGAAGTGACGAAGATGTAGAGTATGCACGTTGTGTCCCTGATATCGATAAGTGCATGATGGCCGACGCTACGTCAGTCGTGTTACCCGCGTGCTGGTTGATCTGGCTTCTGCTCGTACTGTAGCTCGTTGTGTGACAATACCGAAATGCATCAATGGCAACAATACTGATGATATCCACATCTACAGTGGAAATGTCGCAATAATAACAGCTTAAATTTTACTTAAAGATTACTGTATATTCATCAGATCATCCATTTGACCTCTGTCAATAAATTGAAAAAAGACAGCTGACTATTACATCCTTGAAAAGAAGAAAGAGAGCAGCTACTGAAATAAATTGAATTTGACATTACTCGTATTATTTATAACTAATTGCCACATTGTCTGGACGTCACAGTTCTTGTTGTAACTGATTTTATATTAAAAGATGCTACAAATCAACCCAATTCTTCTGCAAGTACTCTTATTTCGACTAGAACGATGAGAGCAGGTCAACTTTTATTGAACCATTTAAATACATGATGGCTTTGTGTACATGAATCCATCATCCTAGAATAGTAGGGCTGCCAGAGTCGGTGGATAGGGCAAAGTTCTTGAAGTAGGAGTAGCAGTCATGGGTTGGAGCCCAAGAGCTGTCACGGCCACCGAAGAAAGTTGAGAAGAATATTCCATCGATGTCAACGCTAGCTAAGGCCCGAATGTTGAGTTGGTCGATCTGGAACACCTGTTTACCTTCGTACCACACCTTGATAACCCCATCTGTCTTCCCAGGAGTGTTGATTTTAACTGACTGAGCAATGTTCTGCCATGCACCGCGCTTGAACCTCCACTTTCCTCGTCCAAGAGAATACCCTTTTATCGAGTTACAGACTGCATCGTCACAGAAGTCATGGACCTGATGAGTGTGATCTTGAATATAGGCATACACTTCTCCATCTCCGTCCGCCCTCCACATGAACCTAGTCGAGAAACAGTTGTCGGAGTGTCTTCCGCCAGAGCAGTTGGTCCATCCGCCAAAAAGCCCCGGAAGTTTACCTCCTCGTCTGAAGTCAAAGTTCTTGTCAAAGAAGACATCATAACTGAAGGTCATGATGCTGTGATCTGCAGTCGGTGTTGCAAAGAACTGGACCCCTTCATTTGGGCCGTGGCTACTGTACCGGCCCTTCTCGTACCAGACTCTCAAGACGTGGTTGCTTCCTCCGTCGGGGTCAGTGACTACGGAACCAGATCCATGATCGTAGTCGTTGGAGGTTAGTGCATGCATACCATTGCGGTAGTTAATTGGGTCAAACTCTTTATGTGTCCACAAGAGTGTACCTGGGAAGAGGAAGAAATCAAACTTTGAGTCCGTGTTGACATCAGTGTGTTATTTATTTTTTTGGTCTTAAAGATTCTGATTCGCGGATTTATCGAACCATCGGAAAATGGTCGTCAGTAGCAATCAAGACTCGAGTAAACATATTGCAGTAACCAATGGAAACATCTAAATCTTTATACTGTTTCATTAACGGGACACAGTTCATTTCGGTTCATGACATGCACAAGGTCTGTGCATTTGGTACCATTGAGAGTGAGGAAGCTGGTACACAGTTAGTCCGGCATTACAGCGACAGGTGCGAGAATGGAGTTTTGCAAATTGTATTCATAGGAGCACTTTGACGTCAGAAATAGTAAGCATAGTGTTTTATTTGGGTAAAGACGAACGAAATGAATGGACTGGGTGGACTTGAGCCACTGCCTTCTGATACATGTTGAACGGGTGTTAGCGATGAATATGGTTGTCTTTTTACAATATCCCTACACTGTCACTGTGGTGAACACCAGACATCGTCACGACGCGTAGTTCAATGCTTGCGATCAAACTCAGGACGTGTTGAGCCAATACTGCATGTAGAGTCGTATGTTAAGACTGATTATTAAATACCTTCGACGGTTAGGCCTACAGCCAACAGTAGGAAGCACAACAGCTCCATGACTCTGAATTAAAAATAAATGAGTACATCAACGGAGGTTATACATGTGAATATTATAGGACCATTAAAGAAATGGGCTTTTTCAGCATTCACAGATGTCAGTTTGGCCGTTCAAAACCTGTATTTCCAGGAATCCATCTTGGGGTTTGATTTCGATAAACCTAACATGACTGTGTAGAAAACACATATTTATTATCTGCTTGAAGCTGGCTGTTAAATACATAAACATGTAGGAAAGGTAACAAATTCTACCATGACCTCAGTAAATACTCGATTGTGATTGGTTAATTAAAGTCATTCAGAGGTATATAACCATGTTATATACCTCTGATTTTCCGACACAGTATGGATCTTTTTAAAATCTTAATAACGCGGTTATGGTAGTATGGAGATAAACATATTGTGTTGGAAAACTAGAGGTATATAACGAAATCATAACAGCTCTACATCGCATTTGGAGCTGTTATAATGTCGTTATATACCTCTGATTTTCCAACACAGCATGTTTATCTCATAAATGTATGTTGAAGCATAAATTGCACTCGCTTCATTGCTTAACTCCACAGAAACAGAGACGCAAAATCCAAACGCGATGTAAACTATGTGAATGGATCAGTGTGAATCAGACATATATATGACTCGAAGTCGCTATAAAACTCACCTGCCCGACTTTCTGCCGCAACAGGCAAAGCAGTAATCCAGTCAATATATACAGTTTTGACATTCTTATCTACACAATCCTGTGGCCTCATGCTGACATTGCATGATAAGAGGTTTCTCAGTTTTTTAATTTTTGCAAACAATCGTGAATGATTGCTGACAGAATTAAATTTCACAGCTAGCTATTCGTGCTATTCTTATCGTGACAAGACATCTATATATCTACAAGTTAAAACATAACTTTATTCGTGATTATTCTATTAATCTCTGATCCTCGCTGTTTTGATCTAGCGGTAGGGGTGTGGATATGTCAAAACACCACAATGTGCATTTACGTTTGACTTCAGTTTGCTCGTAATACCAATCCCAGAAGCTCGTAATACCTATCCCAGACGGTCGTAATACCTATCCCAGAAGCTCGTAATACCTATCCCAGACGGTCGTAATACCTATCCCAGAAGCATGTTGCGAATTAGACTAGATCCCTAGCAACATGTACAAGTCGTCATGAGGCACTATGTGCTCAAGAAATTAAAAGAATACAGTATGTTTATCTCCAAATTGACATGTGATAAGGCGCCACTTTTTTCCATGAGTGAAGCACACCTTAATGCATTATTTGGGACAATATTTCATTCCTCATGATCCACTGTTCTCCAAAAGCATTTGACACATCCATACTGTCACAACCAGATTCACCAATAGCTGAAGCTATTCGTGTCAATATTTACGCATATCACTAACCTCATAAATATCAGAAGATGCCATACCCATGGCCAATTATATCAAATGCTGAAAGAATTTTTGAGTGATTCAGTATACAATGTTCTCCGTGCATGCTCCAGGTATAAACATCAATGAATACTAGTATAGATACAGATAGCAGACTGAAGCTATTCAATACATGATTTACACATATCATTAACTTAATACATATCAGAAGATATTTTACCCAATTATGTGACCGGAAATGCTTGAAGGTTTTTTGTTTCCCGAAAATTTTCCCAAGTATAAACGTCAATATGTTTGTATGTCTTCCGTTGTGTTTCAGCTTCTTTAGAGAATGCATGTGGATCATATGGAGAACAAAATGTACATGACTCATGATACCTATTGGGTTACACGATTTCCATTGCTTCCGATGGCAATTTTCAAATTTCCAAATTTGATGCATCTGTGACAAAAATTATTATGTCCGATGCAATTCCCTATTTGGAATTTGAGGTAAACAGTTTAACTAGACTTAGCATATGTTTGTGACGGCTGCCACCGGTGGGGCAGGGTACGCTCACCTTTACGCGAACACCCGGTATCATCACTATTTCATAGTGATTCATAACCACATGCTCTGTCATCGAATCGCATGGTGACAATCACTGGACTGTCATGCCCAGACTCGATTAAACAAATCACAAACCCGATGCTGACCTTAAAAGATATGTGCCCATTCGTTTCACAACTGATAAAGTAACTTACCTTTTGCAGAGATTTCATGCATGAAAAGGCTATGAATAGGGTCACCTTAAAGTGGGAGTTTATTTTGCTGAAACAAATACATACTCATGATATAGTCAAAATTGTACAATTGACTGCTTTTTAGCAGAGATGTCTTATGAATGTGAAAGGGTTTTGTCGCTTCTACTGTGATGTGATTATAAAACAGCAGCATAAAAAAGTGATAAAATCATCCGGAATATCTGCTAAAACAGTTTACTGTCTGAGTAAGGCTACATGTGTATATGTCATAATCATGCAATGATGTGGGTAGCTGCCTCAGTATTGTACGTTATTTTATTTACCATATTTTTAACCAAAACGTGTACTAATCGGACAAAAGTAAAACCTACTTACGAGTGTTGATTGTGACAGTATGGTATCGTTTGTGTCCAGTGGTTATGTTGTCTTGATGAATTTACAACATTGTGTTTCCTGTATTTAACATCAAACCAATACCAATAAACCAATTACAGTGGGATTTTTATAACACCGTTGTAAGATGAACGACCGGACCGTCTGAGGTATAGTGATATTATTATACAATATACAATAGATATATTATTATAGAAACTGAATGGTCCGTGTTGGTCAGTCAAATGGTGAACATAGTGTCAAAATTAGAATAGCAATGAGAGGGCGATATAGCCTCCAAATGTATGTTTCGAGTATGATGTATTCAACTATTATATACAAACACAAAATATGGGAACACCCTAAAATTTGATAGTCACATATAAACAGAAACGTGGTGAGGTCTTTTATACTCTAAGGTAAATGCAACTTTTTTGTGCTTAAGGGGCACTTTAAACGACATGTTGGAACATGCAGTGAAGAAACTGATTCAATGTTCGTTGAGTTTGAGTGAAATGAAACATTGTTAAAAACAGCGAAAAACAAGGGTGCAGAAACACTTTTGGGCGTTTGAATCAAACTTGGTGCTGGTGTGAATACATTCATTCATTATTCATAATTGGATTTAATATGAAACACTCTTCCTAACATTAATGAAGTGATTTTTTTGAAAATAATCTGGCCCAAATACTCTTCCATACTTCGGATCTCCAGCTGGATGTTATGCTCATCAGTTGCTGCGCAGAATTGCCGGACAGCAAGCGAGGTCGTCAGAACGCCGGTAAGGTCAACCGTATGGCATAATGCAACGTTAGAATCTTATGGCCGTCAATATAACTTATATTTCTAGGTAAATATGATGCATACCAGCATGTTTAGTCACGTAAAACACAAAAAATAAGAGACGTTAGTTGCCGTGATGCGATCGATGTGCTTAGGTGCGCGGAATTACCGGACGGCATTGTATATGACTATCATGTTTGAGGGTGTTCCCATATTTTTTGTTTGTAGTATTATCTATCAACGAGTGAATTAACAATTGCTAGACGTGAATCAACTGCCAAATTCTTGTGTACAAATACAATTAAAACAGAGAAAATCACGACTATTTTAGTGAGTCCTGACAAAATAAATGAGAGTTTACTAAGGGTATGTTTATGTAAGTAGCCAGTGATCTTTTGAGGACAGGACTCTATAGGTTTTTAACACCAACCACAGCAAAGTTATTCCCAACGAAAGGGCAAGGAATAGCCCAGAAATGTTGTGACATACAATAAAGAAGAAGTACCCATCCATTAGGGGTGGGTATTGCAGAGAATTTTGATATTGCGATATATTGCGATGCGAAAGCATGTATTGCGATATGTATTGCAATATATTGCATGAAGTATTTTTAAACAAAAAACTACTTATAATCGAGTTAATGCTTAATTTATAGAGCAAAAACACAGCAAAATCACTATGCTTGATTAAGCTTTAATAACAACTTTTCATCATGATAAAATAGAAATGTGAATAATATTTGGCACAAATGAAACAAGGAAATATCCGAAGATTTACCGGTCAAAATACCGGTTTTCGATCAGCGTATCGCAATACGTATCGTTTTCGTGTCTGAACCTGTAAATACCGGTAAATACCGGTAAACCGGTTATATTGCGCAGCCCTACCATCCATAATATGTGCCTTTTACTTGAATACCAACAGTACTTCTAAATGCCTCTCCAGAACCTCAAGTACAGCAACTGTTCAATTTAAAAACAGATACGTGTATTTACCTATCAAATCATCAGTATGATAACGTTATTCCACTGTGTGGATATAGGGGCGACGGGTAGCCTAGTGGTTAAAGACCCGGGTTCGATTCTCTACATGGGTGATGTCTGAATCCGATTTCTGATGTCCCCCGCCTTGATGGTGCTAAAAGCGCAGTAAAGCAAAACATTCCTACCTACCCCATGTGGATATTAGATTTGGTCCGCAGCAGTAATAAATGTTTGTCGTAAGCTACGTCGAGCTACTTTGTCCATAATACCAACCACTTGTGTGTCAGGTTTACTTTTAATAGCTCATTAATATACACCAGGGTTATTGGTCAATACGGCGTCACACAGCAAAGACTAATAACAATATAACAAAGAAATATTTCATTTTTCAAATTATCTTTATTCTGTAACGATGCCGACTATCACGTCATCCTATGATGGTTGGGTGGCCAGAGTCGGTGGATAGGGCAAAGTTCTTGAAGTAGGAGTAGCAGTCATGAGTTGGGGCCCAAGAGCTGTCACGACCACCGAAGAACGTTGAAAAGAATATCCCATCGATGTCAACGCTTGCTTTGGCCCGAATGTTGAGGTGGTCGATGGTAAAAACCAGTTTCCCGTTGTACCATACCTTGATAGACCCATCTGTCTTTCCAGGAGTGTTCAGGCGCACTGACTGAGCAATGTTCTGCCATACACCCCGTTTAAACCGCCACTTTCCTCGTCCAAGAGAATACCCTTTTATCGAGTTGCATACGGCGTGGTCACAGAAGTCATGGACCTGATGAGTGTGATCTTGAATATAGGCATACACTTCTCCATCTCCGTCCGCCCTCCACATGAACCTAGTCGAGAAACAGTTGTCGGAGTGTCTTCCGCCAGAGCAGTTGGTCCATCCGCCAAAAAGCCCCGGAAGTTTACCTCCTCGTCTGAAGTCAAAGTTCTTGTCAAAGAAGACATCATAACTGAAGGTCATAATGCTATGATCTTCAGTCGGTGTTGCAAAGAACTGGACCCCTTCATTTGGACCGTGGCTACTGTACCGGCCCTTCTCGTACCAGACTCTCAAGACATGCTTGCCTCCTCCTTCAGGGTCAGTGACTACGGAACCAGATCCATGATCGTAGTCGTTTGAGGTTAATGCATGCATACCATTGCGGTAGTTCTTTGGGTCAAACTCTTGATGTGTCCACAAGAGTCTACCTTGGAAGAGGATAATATATACACTGTTATAAACCGGCCAAAATCTATTGTCGATTTTCATTGCCTTGAAATTTCAGACCGCTTTAGCAGTAAGCATCAATCATATATGCGACAATATTGCATTCCTATGAATATGAATGATAGGTTAACTGCAATGACCGCCTGTATATTCAGAGTAAGAGAATATTTCTATTATGTTCAGAGACAAAACAGTTTTTAGCCTTCCAAGAAGACCTTCGCTATC